ATGAGGTTCCATCCAGGGCAGTTGGCATTTTCTTCACTATCGAGCTGCTCAGAACCTTGTCGTCTATACTCAAAACCCTAATCCACTATTCATGATGTATGGAGCAGTGATCTCTGATTCTCCAATTTAAGATGCCTATTGTATAAAAACATCGTTTTTGCTTGTTCATATCAAAAATTTACAGAAAACGGAAATGCCCTTCTAATACCAAAGTCGAAAACATTGGGCGAAAGAGTGGGAACAACATGAGCTGCTGGAGAATTTTATTGTCGTCAATGTGTTCACCTGTGAAATTGTCTCTATCGATGTCGATGTAGGCATGGATCGCTTGCAAAATGCGTCGAGTAAGCCTTGTCAAGCTCATCCCAGTGTGATGATGCTTCGCATAGGCTTTTTCATTCGAATGCTCTAAAATGAACAGCCCTCAAGCTCTAGTTTGCAGGGATAATGAATGTACCTTGTCGAGAACTATCATCATAGTCAAGCTGCTCGCAAATCTTGGTATCCTAATGGCATATAAAAGATCAGGTATCTAACTCGAACAATATGGCTTCGCGATGGTAGTGTAGTCCGGACGAGCAATCTTGTACTGGTTTCGCTGTAAAAAATTATAAGGGAGGGGCGCTAGAGCGTAATGTAGGCCCAGTGACGCCTCCTTTTTCATGTGACTCCGCCTCCAGACTCCACCTTCATGGCCCGCCCTTCAGTGAAGACGAAGCTGCAGGACGAAAAAGCATGAAAATCGTCACTTGAACGATCTTAGAGCTCTTATCGCGGATCAACTGGGGCAGAATGTTAGAAATGGTGTTAGTTGAGCACGTACAAACTGAAATTGAAATGGGGTTCTATTTAGGGAAGTTGGCATGTTTTTTTTCCTCTGCTTTTTTCACTATCGAGCTTACTCACCACTTTGTCGTCTATATGCAAATCCCTAATACACTATCCGTGATTGAATGATCGCGGGCTTTGCCTTCAACACATTGACGACAATCGCGTTTTGCGGAAAAGCGACGCGTGGGACAATGGCGTGTTTTCGCATGCGTCCGCTTTAAAGACAGCTCCCGCGATAAAAGTGGCAAGAGTATTTGCTGATCAATTATGAAACAGTAGCTGATAAGTAGTAGTAAGTTAGTAAGTGATAAGTATTCCTCAATGAGGGGAAAAAAGCAACAAGAGCCCTCAAGAACACCACAAACGAAATTGCTCCCTTACAGTTACACCGCCCTGCGATCCGTGGGCAACCCCTGGCTCGAAAATCTCTTTATCACATCTCTCAGTAGTGGATATCATCCAATGCAATGAAAAGAATACGAAAAACAATAAAAACTCGGAAGAAAAACTCCTGAAAGGCAAAAAAAACTTTCAAAGACACGGCGTCCGAATTTGGGTTACGGTAGCGAGCGGCTTTTAGTGCATGTTGCTAGTCGAGCTTTTGCACCACAAAAATTGCATCACTCGTGATTTCTATGCGTTTTACCTTACGAGATGGTTGCATTTGACTGTATGTGCTCTCAATGAATGAAATGTGATAAAGGAGAGCAGAGTTATCTAAGGGCACCATCGCGGTCTGCAAAAATGACTTGCAATCCCGAGTATTGCCCGCCGTCCCAACAAAGAGCAACTGAGCGGCTCTCCGTCAGAGGGCAGCTAGCAAGTGAGGCGGTCCAACTGAGCGGGCGTTAGAACTAGAACTTTGAGCGGCTGTAGCTCGCTGTGGAGTTGCGAGAGTGGGACAGTATCTAGCTTGGGGGCTGAACTACCTGCACAAGGAAGGACGACCATGGACTACTCGAGCGCGGGGGCTGTCTTTAAGCCACCGGTGGCTCACATTGTCCCTCGTGGACCAATTTTTTGCCGCCAAATTTTGCAAAATGTTTAGTCAATCGTACAGGAACTGCTATTTCAACTATCTTTGACCCTAAAAAGGATAAAAGGATAAAGTCTTCGCCGTTGATCAATCCCTTTGTGGGATGCGGCACGCATTCTACTTCCATTCAGAATCGTAGTGGCTTATTGAATGCGATGTGGCCTATACAATGACTTGCGGTGGCCAGCCGATGTACAAGTCAGTGTTTTATCCTCCCAGACGAATCTGGTACCAATTTACCGTCCCCGGAGGGTAGAAGGCTTGGTTGGCCTGGGCGGGTGTCGACCCGGGATTCGAACCCGGCGCCGCGCGAGTGGTAAGCGCCACTTGTCACTACACCACCTCCGCCTCATCTTTGACCCTATTGGATGTCATCTGCCCCGCCCTCTGCGATCACGCCCACTTTTTAGCGCGATCGTAATTTCCATAATGTCGCGCCTCGCTGGGGCCTGATAGCGCAAACACTAGAAGGCAATGCTTTTTTGCTTTTTTTGCATTCGTGACAACGATGTAAAATAACCCAGGTATAGAGGTTTCTATCGAATTCGGTGCCAAAAAGATCGCTGGCGCCAAAGTGGCGCCCGCTGGCGCCAGGTGGCGCCAACGCTGGAAGGCAACAATGTTCGTGGCAAGGATGTCAACTAACTCAGCTATAGAGGTTTCTATCGCATTCGATGCCAAAAAGACTGCTAGCTCCAAAATGGCGATTATTGGCGCCATATGGCGTCAACGACCAATAAGATCTGGTGGCGCCAACAGCAAATAACTCTCACGTTCATGATCAAAGCCCCGCACAGTCCCTGCAGCCAAGGTTCCGTCCAAAAAGAACTGTTTTGGAGGTTTCTGCCGCAGCAGTAGCTAGTTGAAAAATTTCAATTTTTAATTCAAAATATCTCATGGGCAGCAACATTTTTCTTGCTCATCCCTGTTGGACATTCACCTTTCACAGGTTATTCGAAAGCAAGAAAAAGATCGATTGAGACTGCCGGCAATAACCCGAAAAGTGATGGAGAAAGTTATGAGCCACCGGTGGCTCAAATTGTCCCACGTGGCCACTCACTTATGAGCCACCGGTGGCTCAGAATGTCGCCAACGTGTTAAGCGCACTAGCCAGAAAAGAGTCCCACGCAAGTCATCGTATGGCTTCCTTGAGTCGTTTGCGCGAAGCTGCTTCCGCGTGGCCTTGACTGAGCGGTTTGTGATCATCTTTCATAGGCGCACACTACAGATCTTACGGAA